GGTTAACCCCCTTTGTTCTCGCTCTCTCGGGGGGCTCTAATTCTCTCCTTCTGTCTTCCCCTGACTCCGCTGCAGGTGTCACCTCTCGGGGTCGTGTCGCACCCGGGACCCGACTGCTGGGCAGGCGGTTGAGCTCGGCGTGGCCCGCTGGCTCGATGGCATGCTCTCGTTCGGCCTCTGCTACAGGTCTCGATGATGGGAGGCGGTGTGGTAAGGCAGTAGGTGGCACGGCAGCGGGGCCGTCGGTGTCACGGCCTGGGTCGATCTCCGGACGCTCTTATCCCGATGGCAATTTACTCCCTCTCTCTCTCTCTCTTTCTCTCACACTCCGACAACACACAAATTTCTCCGTACACACACACTGTGCAAAAACTCGGTGGTTTTCCTAACGAACCTCTCGGCGTAGTGGCCCGCTAAGGAATGACTCAAGCGCGCGCGCGGCAACATACTCCCTGTATCTCTCTCTCTCTCGCGGCTCTGCCGCTGCAGCGCTCACAGCATATACGCGGGCATGTATTCTTCCATTTCTATATCTGTCCGTCGCTGCCGTGCCCTCGTCTCGTCCAACCACGCATCTTTTCCTCGAAGCCACATGTGTATCAACAAACAAGAGGAAAACACGAGTGCATGACTATACATATATATACCTTTCTAACTGGTCGACTCACATGGAGTCGTCGGTGGGACGGGTGAAAAGTAACTTCGTTATTTTTACCACGTCACAACAATACAAAAAGTTTTGTATAACTCACACAAACTAGGCTTAAAAATCCACGAGTTAGAACTGTGCCTTCTCTTATGGAGGGACGAGGACGGATTCCTAATGCTGTTATAATTCATGGACGACATATAAAATAGTAGTATATAAAAATCTAGTAAAAGTTAGATGGATCAGGTCCCAGAAGCACGATGATATTATGACTAACATTTTACCCTATAAAACATATGTTTAATTTTCTAGGTAGCAACAAACTACTAGGTTTAAAGTGGCTATAACTGTAAATCCACATATTTTATGCTTATGCCTGAAGTACAAGAAAATACCGGTGTATGTATTTGAACTTAGTATTGTTGAAGCGAAGGTTCTTATAGTACGTTCAGGATCTTGGCTTGGGGAGTGACTTTCTGAAAAGTGATATAACTTGATGTAACGGATGATATATTTTGTGCATTGGAATAAGAATATGATTATACGATGTCAAATAAATATGCTTTCAGTGTAAGCTGAGTTTACCTGGACTGGAAAGTATTCTCAATTCATTTGATATTTATTAGAACGAGCATATAGTACTTCAAACATTTTATTCATAGTACTTAAAAACTAGTTCATACTCTTACTTGGCGCACCAAAACTTATTTCAGTTTTTAGTTAGCCAAGCTCCCAGTGGTAACTCTGTATCCAGTTAGGTAAGGCTATTCTAGCGGGCGTACGTGCCAATATTGACCAGAATCGTGTAAGCACTTTTTGTATGCCGAGCCGGGTGAGTTGGGTCTCCTTCTCTATAGTCCTCCCTAATCATGAACTTACTAGAAAAGATTTATTTAATATTTGATAAATGACTAAATGTAAAGATAATTTTATACATAGCAACAAAGTTAAACATAACGTATCTTGAGAACTGTACATATTATGGTACCAAATTTCAACGAGTAATCTATAAAATTCTTATGAGAAGCTAAACGTTAAAGTTATTTCAGTTAGATGCAATACTATTATACAAGTAAGAAAAACTTAAATTGACTTGAAATATTATGCTATTTTTATGTTTTTAAAAAAGTTTTGGTCATATAGTCCCTATATATATAAAGAAATTTAGCAATCATGAACCATATTGCAAAATTATAATAATAATGGAAAACTTGTAGCCCACCAAAATTTATACAATAAAAACTAACAATAAACAGAAAAAACTGGAGAAACAAGTATCATAAAACTTGTGGTGATAATAGGGATATTTACCTGACTGAACGTCTGGTACACAGATGTCTCTGTGTCTCCTATCAGCTGTAAATTTTCTTAAATTTCATTGCTATTGTTACTATCTTTTTCAGCAAAACATGAATACTTACGTATTTAACTATAAATTGTTGGATATTTGTGCCAGAAATATGTGTGTATGTCAGTGTGTAGAAGGGTGATTGCTGGGTGTGTTAGCGTGTGTATGCTTGGTCATATATATATATATATATATATAAAAGGTTTTTCTTTGTGAAAAAACGACCCTTTTCTCTGAAATTGGTTTAACTAATTTAAGTTCTATAGGTAGTCAAAAAAAAGGTCTGAGCATCTTGTTTTAAATGCCGAGTGGCATATGCATTTAGTCAACATTTCTGATCCAATGGCTGCCTGAACTCCATGACCTACAGATTTTCATTAACAAAACTACAATAAATCTTGTGGCATGGACCCTGCAGGAGTCAAAAAAGGCTCTAATAGAAAGTCTTGAGCTCTTCTATCGAAATGAGTATGAAGAAAATTTTTTGTCTGCTATAAAACTCAAAATGGTAGCAGAAACACGGGACCTGCGTGTCTTTGTCAATTAAACTACTAAGAAACTCACGATGTACGCACTACAGGGGTCTAAAAAGGCTTAAATATAAAGTCTTAAGCTCTTCTATCAAAAGATGTATGAATAAAAATTTTTGTCTGCTTTACGATCTAAAATGGCAGCAAAAAGACGTGACCTACAGCTTTTTTACAATTAAGTTATTATAAGTCTCGTGGCATAAGCCCTACAGGAGTCTACAAATGTGTGAATAAAAGATGTTGATCTCTTATATCGAGACCTGTGTATTTCTTGTTAGCTGTATAATCCAAAATCGTGGCAAGATACGTGACCCACGCCTGATTTTTACTAAAACCATCATGAATGTGCTGCAATAACCTGACTGAGGTCTACAGAGATTTAAATTACAATTCTACGTTTTATTCTTAGAAATCAGTCTGCAAAAGGTCTTTGTGAGCCTTAGAATTAAAAAATAGCGTCAATACTATGTGACGTATGAGTTTTTTTTTTAAATGGTAGTATAAGAATATTTTTTTGTTCTATTCAGGTACTTATAAAGCTGCAATAATTATTCGCTATATATAATGATAATGTAAGCTTTGAAAAAATATGATTACTGTGGTTTTAAACTTGACGTGTCGTTATTAGTTTTGCACCGATGTATTAATGCTATGCGAACAAAAATATGTGTTCTCGAAGTAGGGTATAGTTTTATGATTTTATATATTTTTCTCAATATGGCAAAAACAAGTTATATTTGAAATTCCTTGACCAATCTAATAACTGTTGTCAGATAATTTTGTAATACTAAAAACCGAACTTATGTTTTGAATCATAAAATTAGGAATAGTTCGTAAATGACGATAAGGTAATTTTGCATTTTATAGCAGTGATAAAATTTTTTTATACATGTTTTAATAGAAGAGCTTAAGACTTTTTAAATAACTTTTTTTAGATCTCTGTAAGGCTTATACCGTGAGTTTCCTAGTAGTTTGATTTTAAAAAATCCCGCAGGTCACGTGTTTTTACCGCCATTTGAAATTTTGTAGCAGACACAAAATTTTCTGTACACTTTTTTTGATAGAAGAACTAATGACTTGAAAAAAAAGCCTTTTAAGCTGGCTGTTGGGCTTATGCTGCGAGACTTATAGTAGTTTTATTTCGAAAAATTCGTAGGTCACGTGTTTTTACGACCATTTTTGATTTTATAGCAGATACAAAAGTTTCTCTTATAAATTTTCTAATAGGAGAGCTTAAGGTTTTTTATTAAAGCCTTTTTAGACCCATGTAGGGCTTATGCTGCAAGATTATTAGTAGTTTTTTTTTAAAAAAGCTGTTGGTCAAGTGTTGTTGCCACCATTTTAGACTTTATAGCAGACAAAAAATTTTTTTCATACATCATTTGACAGAAGAGCTTGAAACTTTTTGTTTAGGCCTTTTTTGACCCCCGTAGGGTTTATATGCGAGGTCTGTAGTAGTTTTATTAAAAAAACGCTGTAGGTCAGGTGTTATTGGCGCCATCTTCAATTTTATAGCAAACAAAAAATTTTTTTTATACTAATTTTGATAAAAGAGCTCAAAACTTTTGACTTGAGCCTTTTTTTATCCTTACAGGGTTAAGTGCCACGAGACTTCTAGTAGTTTTATAGAAGAAAATTTGTTGGTCACGTGGTTCAGGCAGTCATATTTAATCCGGAATGTTGGCTTAATATATGTGCCACTCGGCATTAAAAATAAAGCTCAGACATTTTATTTGACTACCTACAGAACCTAAATATATGAAACCTTTTTTGGAGAAGGGTGTGTCATTCGTTTACAAAGACTACTATATATGTATGTATATATATGTTTGTGTGTGCGTGTGTGTGTGTGAGTGTATGTGAGTGTGTGTGTGTACTCACGCGTGCCCATGTGGGTGTGTGTCTATAAACATTATTAGTACAATTAATGTTGGATAATATTTCACTGCCACAAGGCAGCTACGTATCAGTCAGGGGTCTGCGATCCCTCACACTTGCTTTTGATCATAAATTTAATCGTTTTAATGATTTAATAATACTATTGAACCGATATAAAAATGATGCACTTGATTTTAAATGCACAACTTTTATCTTTATTACTTGATTTTCTAAATGATTCAATGAGACTTTAAGGTAATAAGTACAACAATATTTTTGTAACGGCCATTTAGTCACTGTTAATAATCGACAAATTAAATAAGTCAAAATTTAACGACTAAATTTTTCAGTATTAATATGAAAAATACTAGTTTTTATTACCGTAGCGTAACCAAGTCTTATACATACACAAAATAGACAAGGTATAACTTTTTCAGATCTTGAAAGTTTGTAAAAATAACTGTTGGGGTATAAATTTACTGTGAATATAAGTAAATGAAACAAAAATGTTTTATATACAAGACGTATTACTAAGGAATTTAAAAAATTGTATATTCATTAAAATATCGAGTAATAATTAAAAGTGCTACTGTACCCCAAAATTACTAGCAGCGAATCTGTCACTGGCTGACACAGCGGAGCTGGCCGTAGTATGGGCATAATAAGCATTTATATTTGCTAGAAGAGATGACATGACTGCTGGAACTCCTGGACATAAGTACTTCGTTGATAGGCAGTGAAAATGTCTGAAACAATTTTTTAAAAACTGTATTTAACTTTAAAAAGACTTTATTTCATCAAAACACAGATTAAATTATTAATACGTACGTCATTGCTTGATAAATACTCTCTATACCATATCTCATAGCAAATTCGTCTACGAGTTCCTCTGCAGGAGGATCAAAATAAATTTTCCACGCATCATCACCCTTCACTTGTGGTAGTTTTACCATTCCATCATTGTTTTCACAAAGACTATGAAATAAATTTTCATGCAAGCATGTGTATTGTACATGATATGGTGCTACTTTTTCTTCACCCTTTATTTCTACGCTTATATGTAGTCTTATTGCTCCTGAAACGGCCGACTTATCAGTCCTTTTTTCAAGATTGTACCAAACATCCATTTCCCCACTAAGAGTCCGAACTTCAATAATAGTTTGACCAAGAAAATCATCACTTTCACGGGTAAGTTTTTGTCGCAATTTTGATTTAAGATCATTATCTTCATCCCAAACACGTACTTTAATTCTGTCAGATGAGTTGTGGCATTCGCTGAAAACACATTATAATTTTATGGGTACTATATCATTTATTAATACGTGTACCAAATTAAATAGATAAACATTTAAGTTTTTGACAAAAATTTAACTTAAAAAAAAATTTTCATTTCCTCAAATCGAAGCACTACATAGTTTTACTGGTCAATGACAATTGAAGAATGGTTTCCATTGGTGTGTAAAAGTCTTAGAAGTTCCCAAACTATATTGAGGATTCTTACTGAGACAAAAAGAAGTAGCTTATAAGCAATTATTTTAATCAACTAAGCAATAAGAAAATCTTTGTTAATAGAGTATACCTAGAAAATTTTCACTTTTTTCCATAAGAATTTATATTTAACAGAGCTAATTATAGTTACTCTCATCAAATATATTTTCTGATAATTGTTCAAGCAAATTAATCTTTGAAAGTTTTTCAGTGTTATTTGAAATTTGAAACATTTTCTTTGTACAATGCTCTTAGGGATTAACCACGTGTAAATAATACTTTTTAAAATAAATTTATCAAGTAAAAGGGTTGAGAGAGTAAACTTTAACATTAATACCATAAATTCACTACTTATGATTGATATTTTTTCAGATAAGTTTTAACTAGTAAGGAGCCAGCACCTATTTTGTTCTCAACAGAGTCTTATAAGTTGTCAGTCATAAAAAATTCACGTCAATATGTAGCAATTGTTTCAAACCCTTAATACTAATATACATTGGGTCTAACTGTAATCCTGAATATTTATATAAAGGATCCTTATGATTGGATAGTGTCCATCTTGGTTGTGTTGGTCATAAGTTTCAACTGGGCTATGAAACACTAAACTATCTAACTCTTCAATTACTGCTTTTCATTGGGTCTGTTTTAACACTGACTCACTTCCTAAATCTAATTATTTGTACATTATTTTACAGAAGTTGAAGTCCTACCAATGAATTTTGATTGGCATCGATTAATATGTTCTGTTATCGATCAAGATCTGTATTGGGTTCATTGGTTTAAAAATGAAATTAAATAATTAGTAGTTCCAATTTTTGCATAAAATAAAAACAAATACTATATATTTTGAAGTAGCAAATTATTAAGTTGTTCTAACAAAATCAGAGAATTCATTAATCAATGAGAGAATTCCGTCATGGAAGACAATTTTTGCATCTTCACAATTAAAGATCCTGATATACATACACTACCTTCAAAGCCCATGCGGACCCTCGCATGCCTACTATTCACTCCAAAAAATTTTTTTTTAATCCCTACCTTCTCCCTCCCCCAACTAAAAATATATTCTTATTACGATTGTAATAAAAAGTAGAAGATTCTTTATACCGAGTAAATAATTAAATGCAGAAGGATAATGGGACCGAAGAACACTTAAAAAGTAATTAGTTTCGGGATAAGTGAGGTTTTCGATGTATATATGCTTACCAATACTGAAATATTAAGTAAGCTATATTAGGTGCTAAAACTTGATAAGCTGCCCTCATTTAGTACTAGATGTAGTAATTTTCTGAAAATTTATAGTATTTTAAGTATCTTTGACGAAACGGCATAATACACAGCCACCATACTAGTTAACCAATTTTTGCTGCTTAGTATTTAGAAAAAATGTTCTTTGAATATTTTAAGCTTTCGTACAACTTCTAAGGTGTATTTAATTTTTATACTGAGGGGCTTTATAGAGTACTATGTGAAAAAAAAGTTTAATTCTTGAAGTTTCTCTGACAATATGGCACCTTACGCAGCCACTATATAGAATAATTAGTTTATGCCGCTCAGCACTTTTAAATGCATGTTTCACAAAGAATTTCAAACACTCCTACAACTTTCAAGATGCCTTTGATTTTTACAGATAAAAGTTGGTGAAAGTGACGCATTTCGTTCTATACACATGTGTATATTTACCAGTCAAACTTTTCTTCCTACTCATTGCATGCATTAACCATGTATTCTAACTTTAAAGATTAAGGTCTTTCCTAATAATAAAGTAACCAACATAACATTAAGATTTTCGTATTGGTACAACCTTTATAAATTACTAGAAATTTTGATTTATAGTTTAAATTGATAAAAGTTATCAAACAGTAAATACAATGCCAATAATAAAAATAAATCATAATATGTGTTACCAGATATTTTGAAGAAATAACTGAGAAATATATTATTAAATCTATAAATCATGATACCTTATTAAAGTGCATGTGATTTGAATAATGTTTGGTTTCTCTTTTGATGGATTGCAAGTGTCCAAATTCTCAGTCACTCCATGAATAGTCCAGAGATACTTATATTATGTTGTGTTTTATTTGAATTGATAATTGATTCTACACACTGATTAATTTTCTGAACGAAGGAGATACATTTTTTGCTTCGTTTATTATTATATTTTTTTAATTTTTCGTAAGTGCTTATGATTTTTCCTAATCATTTTTTTTTATTATCTTAAGCTTTAACTTCAAGTTTTAATTATTTTCAATAATTAAGTTAATCAAATAAATCATTATGCTTGATGTTAATTGTTAAGTGACGACTTGCGTCTATGAATAAGTTTTTAATTTTTTTCTATTGAATTTCCAATTTACTCACAATGATAAATTTTTAAGACTCTTAAAAGAGTCATACCAACCCCACGTATCCCCAAGTACCAACCCCATAGCATGTGAGACAAAGGAATTAAACTAAAACTTCATGCAAGGTGCATTTCTTTGCTCGGCGTTTTAGTCAGTCCACCGCTCATCGAGTGTGGTTCTTAACAACAAGGTTAGTATTTTAAACTTATTTGTTATAAATGCTTGATAATTTCATAATTATTATTGCTTGATAAGTGCATTGTAATTATTGTAATTAATTATAAGGCTAAATAAATAAAAAAAAAGCAAACCAGATTTTGCAGAATATTTTATTAGTTAAAATTCAATAAAATTAATAATAACAAACGAAGCAGGACTAACGAATCGTATAAAATAAAAAAGTTTAAAAAAAGATTTGTGGACATTTATATTTGACAAAGCCAAATACTTTTTTTTCGTTTTTCCTTTTCCCAATGTACAAATGAACAACTAGTGACACTTTATGCTGTCCCGCAGCCTGTGAAAGAGCGCACAGGGGGCACAAACTGACTTTTTTTGATCAAAGTTATCTAGAAACCACAATTTTTAAACTATTTGGATGATTTTTATTTTTTATTTTTAAAGTAAGATGATTTACATGACATTTGTCAAGGCCAATTTTAAATTTTCGACCTTAAATTTGATTGACCCGACCTTAAATAATAAAAATAAGCAAAGCCTGATAAAAGACATAATTATTTCAATGAATAAGGCTCATTTTACGGAGTAAAATTAGACAATAATAATTTTCTACTATACTCTAAGATATTTAATGACAAATACATTATCATAATAATTGAATTCAAGATTTCGATCACAATTTGTGAATTCAATATGTCGAACCGATAAATTGTTAGGTACCCGAATCTTGATAAGCATTCATACTCAGGTGTTATTGAGGTCTTTGATTTCGAATCCATGGTTACAGTTGGAAAATTCAAGATGGCAGATATAATATCGCAGACTACTACAGACTTACTATATGTCAACAGTGGCCAACATTACCTCAAAATAAATGTAAAAGAAACGACTTACTTTAGTTTAAGTAAGTAAAAAATAAAAATGTTCTATTCTTTTCCCGTAATTTGTATACCATAATTGAACGGTATAGTTTATTATATATTGTAAGAACTACAAAGGAAGCCTATTCAAAAATGATCGCGAATTTTCTCTTTTCATTTTCCTATTTATGAAAATATACAAAAAAAATTTTGAAATTGATTATGACCAAGGCTTGTGATAAAATATTACAAAATAGTTTAAAGTTGATAATTATACTTATGTAATACTAAAAATATAGTTTTATGGCGAGGTTCTATTTTCTTTAACGTAAAATAGTTTAATAGTTGTGCAGTGAATACGGTATGTATCACGTTACTGTAACCTGTACACTCCCTATTGGATAGCTGGCTTCCACCACGTGAACGTTATACAATATTCCATGTTGGCCCATCAATATTTTAAAGTTATTGCAGAACATCACCTTAGTTTCATATACCCTTGAGTAATGTAGCATTTTCTCTTGAATTTTGATTAAAGTACTGTGTAAAATGAACTTATACGTATAGAATCAGCTTTTATAAGTAATTGGTTGCATACTCTAAGGCTTTGTAAAATGAACACTTAGCGTTATGGTACATGTACTAGTGATAGATTGTGCATCAGTTGTGTAAAAATAAAATTATAAAAATATAAATAAATTTTGAATAACAATGAGACAAAGTTTTTCAAAATAATATGTTATATCATGCAACAGTACTTTGTATTTTGTGTAACAGATATGATTATCGTTGAAACAGTATCAGTTAGAAACAGAACATTAATAATTATACATGTTTTATCTTTTTCATGTTAATTTTAGTAACTACCTTACAGCTGCACTGATTTCAAGTTTCATTTTTTTCTGGTCATTATTGTGTTCATATCAAGTCTTGTATGTTTGATATGTAGATAAAACTAAGGTTTCAATCACGTAAAAACAAAATAAACATCGTGTGAATATCATACAAATAGTAATCATCTAATCATCCTTGGCTGACGAGTATACGATGGAGAATACACTACATTTTTACCACAATTATTGAACTATTACAAATTGAAGACAGTAAAATCACCCAATGGAACTATATTTTTAGTGTTATATTAGTATTATCATCTACTACAAACTATTTTATAATATTTTATCACAAGCCTTGATCATAATCAATTTCAAGATTTTTTTTGTATATTTTCATAAATTGAAAAATGAAAAAAAAAATTCACGACCATTTAAGGTTAGGCTTCCTTTGTGACTCTCACAATATATAATAAATTGTAGGGTTCGATTTTAGTGTTCAACTTACTTAAGTAGAAAATTTCAAACTTTCAATTATCTAAACTAAAGAAAATTGTTTCGTTTAC